CATAGCTAGCAATCAGACTTTAGGAGATCTTACTCAACTGACAGCTCCCTAATTAATGTGATGGATTATTTGAGAACTGAAATGTCGATAGGGAACTCGTATGAATGGTAACCTTAGACTTGCAAAAGGCCTTCGATACTGTCAACCACAATATATTATGTAAGAAACTTTAAGCTATTGACATGGGATCCGTTGACTGGTTTAAGTCCTACCTTAGCAACAGGAAGCAAATTGTCAATATTAACAAAACAATAAGAACCCCTTGCCGGTAGCATGTGGAGGTCCCCAAGGTAGTATTCTGGGTGCGTTATTATTCCTATGTTATGTAAACGACATACCCATCAGTGTCAAGTGCAAACTCCTACTGTATGCAGATGACAGTGCTCTGTTAGTGTCTGGTAAAGAACCACAAGATATAGCTAATGTAATACCATTGGAACTGGAGTGCCACAGCAAATGGTTAGTAGACAACAAATTATCGTTACTCCTCGGGAAAACGGAAGCCATACTCTTTGGCACGAAACAAACTGAGAAGGGTAAATAATATTCAAGTCCGGTGTAATGGGGAGCCCATCACTTCAGTTTCCTCAGTAAAATATCTAGGAATCCCCTTTGACCCATGCATGTCAGGAGAATTGATAAGGAACAGTGTAGTAAAGACAGCGAATGCCAGACTGAAGTTCCTCGACAGATAAGCACAATGAGGCTCGCAGGACCCTATGTTTAACCCTTATACAGTGTCATATGGACTACGCTTGCTCTTCATAGCACCTCTGCCTTGACAAAAAAAAACTGAAAGATAAATTACAAATCACCCAGAACAAAATGGTAAGATTCATCCTGGACCTGGGTTCAAGACAGCATATTGGCCAGGATGAATTACAACAATTGGATATGCTGAATGTTGAAGACAGAGTAAAACAACTAAAATTAAATCATGTTTATAAAATTGCTCAGTGTCCAGAATATCTTGCTGCCAATTTTATCAAGGCTGGGAGCCAGAGCAATCATAGTACTAGGGGGAGAGAGCACAACTTTGTAGTACTCAGTGGCCAGGCTTCAAACACCTTTTATTGTACAGCAGTAAAGGAATGGAACAGACTCCCCGCACATGTCAAAGCCAGTCATAGCATGAACCTGCTCAAGAAGAGAGCCAAAAGATGCCTAATGAATGTAGCGACAGAAAGGGAGAAGAATGATTATTATTTCCCAGTGTATATCCTTTATAGTATAATAATAAAGTATTAAAAGACCCCGATAGAAATGAGTCAGTGTCAGACTTTTTGGGTTATTCTAGGTTCTCTACACATATGCTGCTATGTATGATAATCTGTGCAACTGTATTTGTGTATACATTACGTTAGTTAATGCAGTTGTTATATACGATACATAGAAAATGGATATTGAAGAAAATTGGGCGCACTGTTAGCGGGTGGACTCGACGAAAAAAAAAAAAAAAAATGTAATAACCACATTGCATGTTCAATTATCTATTTACAGTTATAGGTATAGGTTTACTTTTTCCCCCAAACATGTCCGGAATAGATATAGGGCATAGAATAGCGTCAGGGATTCAGAAATCAAGTGCGAGGCACTTGGTAAAAACCCACAGGGTGGGATGATGGAGAGGCCTCCTACATAGAACTACCTCCATGTTTTGATCTACCGTGTTGTGATTTCATTACCTTTGTAAATTGTGAGTTTATTACCTTTGTAACTTGCTCAGTTATCAAAACTTTGAGGCCCAGTCCCTGGACCCATTATGTACCTCTGTAATCTTTTGACTACCGCCCACAGGATGGGTATGGGGTGCAAAATAAAGATATTAAACTAACTAACGTGTTCCTAGAAATTTCAAGTTCGCAGTATATAGGAAGGCAAATAATGTTTGCTCCTATATTAAAAAGTGTGTTGAAAATATTTAATTATAAGTTAATTTGGTAATCTGTACAAGGTCACTTTTACTGGGAAGTTATCAAGAACTAAAATGCAACTACAAAAACATATCAGTTATATACTAAATCCTCTGGGCATCAACAATAAATATTTATAGATGAATGGTTCACAGAACCGACACATTGATAAATTAGACACATGTGCAACTCTTGGGTATCTTTACAAACTAGTATTTAGTCAGCCATAATACCAACTTACCTCATAATTTGTAATATTTTACAATTAAGAATAAAACTAATTATGCCCGAAATGCCTAGCCATGCTAAGCGTTCTAGTAATCACAATTTTACTACATGTAAGCCCTTGTGGCTTAGCGCTTCTTTTTGATTATAATAATAATAATACTACATGTAAACCAAACAATAACCAAATTTCTGTAAACACAGCATTGTAATCCTTATAGAGAATAAACTGTGAATTTGAATTTATTGAGGAAACGTTTCGCCACACAGTGGCTTCATCAGTCCATACACAGGAGAAGCTAGAAGAACAGGAGGAGAATGAGGTAATCAGTCCCTCAGCCTTGAGTCGATGTGGTCAGTCCATCAATCTTGAGTAGAATACGGCATATGAGCGGAGAAGCAGCTTATAAACCGTAGGCAGGAGAGGTGCAGTAGACGTAGGTGGTGTCACATTTGCCCAATGCAGAAGTAGATAACCAAGAGTTGCACATGTGTCTAATTTATCAATAAATATTTATTAAATTATTTTGGTTAAGAAAAAATCCTGTTACAAGTCGTTTGATACATGGTAATAACGCAAATTTTGTTTCAATCGTTGTGTGAATTTACCGCAGTTAAGACTAGCACTAAAAGCATTATTTTGTCCAGTGATGATAAGACACACATGAAACAGTTGGGTATCTTTAATGATGAAACGTTTCGCCTACGTAGTAGGCTTCTCCAGTCATATATAGAGGCAGCAACAGGTGTAGTAGTGAAGTGAACTGAGTACATCTTCATTTCACTACAGTATCCGCTGCATTTATATTTGACTGAAGAAGCCTATTACGTAGGCGAAACCTTTCATAAATAAAGATGCCCAACTGTTTCACTTGTCTCTTAATCATCAACCTGTCGGTAGTTTATATAATTTTTAACACATTTGTCTAGTAATGTACACTAAGATAAAACACCATAAGTGTCCGGAGCCCAAGACTGTTCAACAGCCTCCCACCAAGCATAAGGGGAATTACCGATAAACCACTGGCTGCCTTCAAGAGAGAGCTGGACAGATACCTAAAGTCAGTGCCGGATCAGCCGGGCTGTGGTTCGTACCTTGGACTGCGTGCGGCCAGCAGTAACAGCCTGGTTGATCAGGCCCTGATCTACCGGGAGGCCTGGTCGTGGACCGGGCCGCGGGGGCGTTGATCCCCGGAATAACCTCCAGGTAGATATCTTGTATACCTAACACTAGTTTGACCTCTCGTGATTCCTTTCTCCTCAGTACGTTATATAACGATATTTTGACCTAAGTTTGTACAGATAGGAGTGTAGGCCATTGAAAATAACATCATTGCCTATCATAATAGTATTGTTAAATCCTCAAATGGTTCTCGATTAAACAGAAGTTCTGTTTTGGACAATGTCTCGAATGACAGTACACATGTCATTCTTATACAATATTATACAATATTATATTCAGTGAAAATAGGAAATAAAACTTGAGCGCTTCATGTGCTTACACATACCTTCAGAGGAATGGGAAGATGAGGCAGGAGGAGTACATTTCAGATGTTAAACAACAGAGATTGGGATTTTTTGATGCCCCAAATATTTTATCAAGACTCCAATATGTGACTCAGGTGTATGTCATTAGCTATAAACTTGACAATTTTATAGCTACGAATATTGTCCATAATCTCAGGGGTAAAAATATTTTTCACAAAAATACAGTGTGCTCTTTGTCAGGCGAACAATTTAACTTGATGTTAAACAAATGTATGCCGGGTTTGGTTTGTGCGGAACCTAGTTGTGTGAGGTGTTGTTACCTTCTATGAATGAGGTGTTACCTCAGGGTTTAAGTTTGGCTGATTTTTTTTTATCAACGTTCATGGGATACAATGTCTGTCTCGCACCTCTGTACTGGTTTGATGCTACTTGACTCTCCTCTCACCATTTTGCTCTTTGGTGCTACTGTGGATCGCTAGATTTTATAAACAATAGTGTGGGAAACATGAAATAACATTACTGTGTAGCCTAGTGAAATCGGGGTATCTATAGATTCTGTCAGACTACCCCTCAAGGAAGGTTCCTTGATGTTGGTGAGGGGCTCTTGATTTAGGGAATTGGATCTGTGCTCCAGTTTCCCAAATTAAGCCTGAATGCCTTCCACATCCCCCCCCCCCCAGGCGCTGTATAATCCTCTGGTTTAGCGCTTCCCCCTTAATTATAATAATAATAATAGTCTGTCAGACTAAATTCTTTCAAAAATGATTACCTAATCAAATATTCGTTAGTTTCTTAAGTATTCAGTGGTGTAGCGGGGAGTATGAACTTAAATCTGCAATCATGAATTATCACTGTCTCATTGTTATGCCACCAAATAATGTACAAAGGAATATCGGTCACTTTGGAGATGATCGTGAAAAACTATTGATGTGAACACAATTCGTCATTTACCGAGACTCATAGCATCACTAGGATTTGTGAATAAAGAAAAAAAATTGGTTTAATGTCATATTTTCTTATCATTGCATTCTGAAATTTCTGAATATCGAGAATGATTGAAATGTATGTAATGGAATTTAAACAATTGATCTGGAATTACTAGGCAGTCACCATCTCAGTCATTTAAGAATCACTCATGAAAGGACACTGCTCTAGTCCACATTTACATTTAGGAAAGACTTCGAACATCGTTAAAGGGTTTTGTAATAAACTAATGATACTGTTTGGTATATGTCCAACATTATCATGGATACAAGCAAAAATTTCACAATATCGAGATTTCGTGTAATGAAACATTGAACGTGAAGTTACGTTTTCTTAATAATCACCAAGATGATATACACCAATACTTTTCCCATATACTCATAGCCTTACCTGGCGTCCATCTTGAGCGCCTGAGTGTCTTCTGGTAAGTCGAAAGTAATATGGGCCACGCCCAAGCCCTCCAGCAGAGTCTGCCCCGATAACTCAACACTATCAACCTGCCGAAATTCAGAGAAGTTATAATCTATATCTCAGTCAAATGTTTGAAGTGTCCAAACGTAAATAGTGCTACGTCATGAACAAACTTAGACTGCTCGAAGATCAGTGGTATTGCATTGGGCTCAACTAAAGTACAAGAGTTCAGCAAAAGGCAAGTTACCTCACAACTTAAGCAAAATAAGTACCCGGGCCCTGATGAATTATTTTCAAGAGCGCTTAAGCCTTAAGGAATGCAAGTTGGAACTTAGTCAGCCATTAACGAGCGTGTTTATTGCGTCCAGAGATATGGAAGATGGCTAATGTTATTCCTATATTTAAGTCAGGGGATAAGTCCATTCCATCAAATTACCGCCCAGTAAGCCTGACGTCTATAGTAGGAAGCACATCTTCCACTGTAACAAGTCTACTAAACAGTATACAAAAATGGTGAGGATGCACTAGACCCGTAGGAATCATAGGGTGCTTGTGAAATAGGGGGTAATTAGGTTTGATCCGAAGAAACGAAGAGTGGTTCCAGTTCCATGAATCAAGAGATCACTTGAATGAAACCCCCCTCCTCCCTCGTTGATGTGGGTTTGCCGCTCATTTCACCTCCTTTTTATTAAATATTAATTGTCCATGTAATACTGTTCTTATTTACTGCGTCTTCCGTTTAATACAGTTTAGCATATTTTTGCTTATTTGAACAAGTAATCATTTCTAAAGCGATCTTGGCGTGTTAGCATGTTTATACGTGCCTAGTCTCCTGCGGAGTAAAACTTTATTAAGGCAGTGCTACACTTAATTCATGCAGAGAAACACTTGTCAAGTCTCATGAACTTCTCCGTGCAACAAGAAAATTAGACTATTGTGCTCTTTTTGGTTTAATTTCAAAAGCATATAGAATATGCAAAAAAGGAATTTTTCACCGAAGAATATCGCATCATCATGAAATGATTCTCATATAAGACTATAGAGAGAAAGCTCGGCATATACTTAGATAAAACCGATAGGAAGGTAGGTCAACATTATCACACAAGCACATAAGAAAACATACAAATTTGACGTTCAGTTTACTACTGCAAGAAGTTACCACATGTCTCCATAGAACCTAATTCGTCTCCACTACCTTGTGCAAGTGATTTTACACAACTGTAGAGCTTAGTGACGTTACATTGGATATAAACTTTAAACCTAATCTAGGACATGTATGCATACTTGAACTGTTAGAACCTGTATCGCAAATCCTGGCCACCAATGATAGAGTTCTCAATCGTTCACCCATACATGATTTATACATTTATTTTTATAGGGCTTGGAGGCATTGTGAAAAACGATGGACACTCTTGTTGTTCACACAGTCATGATCTTCCAACCACAACAACAGAAGCACACAATGGGAGCGGTTGGTAAGTAGTACGATCCAGAAAGATCGGGCAAAAGAACTCATCCCCTAATAATTCTGGTTGATAAAAAAAAAAAAAAAACTACATGACATCCCATACGCTTCTATAATTCACCTCGAAAGGAAATATGGCATGAAGATATCGAGTTTCCACAAATCTGACAAGGCTGTTCATCTTCACTCAACGGCACGTAAAGTCCTTCGGGCCAAAACTGGAGTTTAATGGCTTAGAATCACCACTTGTTCTCAGGAAACTGAACCCCTGATTGGCGATAAAGAGTATATTAATGTGCCTCCCACAGACATGCCAACCGAACCAACCATAACATCATGAAAGTCGAGCTGCTCCGAATAAAAAAATGCAGCAAAGTTACAACGAGGCAGGTCCTGAGCCAACATATTGGACCTCTCCCAGCTCAGCTGGATCTCCGTTCCTGGAAAAGTACCAAGTCGGGTCATTCAACCTGGAAACTTTGAGTGCTTCAAGTGCCATAGTTATAACCTCTTCAGAACTCGGTGCCATTCTCGGGAAAAGTACGCTATCTGAAGCAGATCTCACACTGCCTAAGTATACTTGGACAAACTAAATTTGTCAGTGGCTTGGGAACCTCAGTATCCGTGCTGCGGTAGGATGCATCATGCCTGGAACCTGCATTACCCTGAGAGGCAATCCATCTTGAGTACATCTGTGTTCAGAGGTACTCAAGACGAGGGTTACTAATGATGACCCATCTATGAGCTGTGTCCAGAGGTACTCAAAAACACGGGGTTACTAATGATGATGACCTACCTGTGAGCTACGTCCAGAAGTACTTAAGGACAGGCTGACCCGTGCGTTTGCCAGCTCTTCGTTTCCCAGAGGGTGGTCATCCTTGTATGACGCGAAGACCTACATAGAAACATCGTAAGAAAACTAAATTAATTGTGTGTGTTTGTGTCACAGCTCCTGGCCCCCGCCTCTTCACTGGTCGCTACTAGGTCTGATCTCTCCCTGTTCCACGAGCTTTTTCATACCTCCTCTCAAAGCTGTGCCTGGATCCTGCCTGCATTACATCACTCTCCAGACTGTTCCACTTCCTGACAACTCTGACTGAATAAATGCTTCCTAACATGCCTATGACTCCTGTGTGTGTGTGTGTGTGTGTGTGTGTGTGTGTGTGTGTGTGTGTGTTGTGATGTATGTTGATAGAATTAAATTTATTTTCATTCATGTAACCTGGATCAGTCTGACGAAGACCACCAGAGATGCAATGATGCTTGTCTGATACAGTAACGTTATGGAATCCTGTTACAGAGGATATCTTCCCTTAACTTTTTGAAAACTCTTGGCTCAACTCTTGGGCATAACCTACTTAAACTGGTAGGTCCTGCCCACCTTGGAGCATGTGAGCATCAATTCTCCTTACCTTTCCTTCAGATTGATCCATGAGACTAAAAAAAATCTGTGCTTCCTGGTAGGGATATTTCTGTGAGATCGAGCACCGGTCATGCTACCTAGTTGATGTTGCGCTCATAACATCATAGTGCAGTAATAGTAATTATACAGTTCCTTGGGAATGGGAATTAATAATATATGATCGAAGGAGGGGAAGGGTAGTTCCAATTCTCTGGATCAAGAACAACTCTAACTTCGCCGACGGAATCTCTCTATGGAGGTAGATACCTATATCATTTAAAAAAAAAAAAAAAAAGCCTTCCTAGTACCCTATTTTATAGTGATTTATAATTGAAACCGGATATCCTTCCAGTTGTTTGCTTAATTTTTGTTATTATTATTTTACTATAGCTGTATAATCATTGTCCAGCCTCCTGGCACAAACATGTACTATGTTAACATGACTGCTGAATAAAAGTGAGAGTTAAAATCTATAAATCTGAAAGATAAACATCATGATCTCTTAAATCTGCTCTTGCCTCTGTACCTAATGATGTATTTGCAGATCTAATAGGTATATAAAGATTGCAGCCTAGATTTATGCTGTTTCTCTTGATGGTGCAAGATATATGAATGAGTTAAGGGTCTTCATTAGTCTCCAAACAGGCATAAATAGTGTCTTATATTCACCGCAACTAAGCACTACTTCCGCACTGTATGAGCCACGTTTATGCTACTGTTTCCTTCCTGCTGTATAAGCTCTGTGACTGGTGCTATGCCTTTACTGTGTAAGTAAATTTATTCAAGTATACGCAAATACACTTACATAGAATTATCATACATAGCATATGTGTAAAGAACCTTGGATAACTCAAAACGTCAGACAGAGTGACTTATTTCCATTGGGGTCCTTACTTATTTCCATTGCGTGAGCTCTACGTCTTTACTTATCGCCCGTACTGTGTGAGCTCTACGCCTGGTGCTACGTTTATGTTAATTGTTTATTCCACACTGTATTAGCTCTGTCTGGTGCTACTTCCGTGATCTATATTGCTTATATAGTCAGCTACTTAATGTCCCATCCTCCTAAACAATAACAGTATATTACTCTGGCTTAAACGGTAGAATTAAAAATTTGACTGTAGTACAAATTTCTCTTGCAATCCCGTTTTCTGTTTCCTCTCTTCAAACTTAACACCAGTATGTATTATTCCATTTAGACGACTTGTTTAATGTTATAATTGATAGATATTATTATTGATTAGACGACAATCTAAACTAATCGCAATTAACCTAAACAACGTAAATCGAGAAATTTGATTAATGCAGTCGGTAGGAAATCGAATTAGGCTTTAACAGTCGAGGCTGCATTTTCATGGTTGGATTTATAATATTTCCAGAGCTACTATCTAGTTGTGTAGCAACTGTTATTAATATGACCAGTGTTGGTTACATTATTCGTGTTATTTCTATGACAAAATTTTTAACACTGAAGATGTAGACTATATAGTTGAAATTACATTAAAGTATCGGCACTGATAGTTATATGTCCAGTGTTACATACCGAGAAGTTTAATAAGTGGCTGGTAAAATACTTAAAAAGAAAATGGAAAGTTGTACTTACATGGACGGTGATTGGCATGCCGGGTCTGAAGATGAGCGGTTGGTCTCCAAGGAAGGTAATCTTGGCCTCCTCCTTCACCATCCTGGCTACCGCCCACCCCTCCTGCACCCACCAACCGAAGGATTCCCCCACGGCCGCCAACACGCGAATACTCACGCCCGTCAAGTCGTCGCTGCCTAACTTCTGACGTACCTTCCACAGCGGCAGACTGAATGAGTAGTGACCCTTGAACTGTGTGCACATGCAGGAGCATTAGTACTTGCGGTTCCAGCAGAACCGTATACAGTGTGTAAATATAATAATTCATGTTAAGTGATAAACCCATGTGGGTTATTCAGCGCAAGAGGTGGTAGAGGCTTGATCCTCCGTTTTCTGAGCGGCAGACACACTTCCTATTTGCACTCTAGATATTTCTTCAGAGTGCAGGAATATTTGAATATCTAGTGCTGAGGTAAGTGTAGGCACCGACTGCAAGAGTGCTAAATGTTGTGTCCACGGAACTGTAGGCAGAGTGCAGAAATATTAGTAGATCTGATTATGGAACTGAGCAGAAATATTTTAAATTACTACAAATGTGACCTTAGACCTGCCCCTAGAGTTGTAGTTAAGACACTTTGTTTTATCTTGTTATTGTTTCTAGTGTGTGGCATGAAAGTTAGCAAAGTTAAATTTCATTCAGTGAGTGTTGCACTTTTGAGTTCGTATTTTAAAGTCAATTTACTTTATTATTTGAAAACTTTTTGATAATTGATTGAAATTTTACATTAAAGTTTCTAAACTGTGTTTATTGTTTCTGCAGATGTTAACGAGAAGTAATAAGTGGCATTAAAATACTTCAATAAGAAAATAGAAAGTTGCCACCTTACATGGACGTGACTGCATGCCGTCTGAAGATCCAGCTCCGTTTGTTGTCTCCAACACACGTCAGTCTTGACTCTCCCACCTCCTGGTCTAATACCCCCACTCCCTCCTGACCCCACAACCCCTCAGTTGTATGTCCCCCACGCCCTACAGCTGAATACTCCACCCCTAGTCAAGACTCCCTACCTGCCTAACTTTGACGTACCCCACATCCCTCAGTCTTGAATGAGTACTCCCCATTGAACTGAGTCCCCACATCACGTAGTCTTGTTACTGGAGTTCCACACGACCGTTCAGTTTGTAAATATAATAATTCAGTTTTTAATGAATCAATCCCTCATCTGTAGACTATTCACGCAGTTTGGTAATGCTTGACTCCTCAGTTTTCTGAGCGGCCAGACACATTTCCTTGTTGACTCCCTCAGTCTTGTTTTAGATGCCTAGTTTGTAATGATCCTAGTCTTGGTAATGTACCCACTCAAGATTGTAATGACTCTCGTCTTGACGATACTGTGTGAGACTGCCTAGCTGAATATCAGCTAACCTCTGATCTTGGAACTGACATCCAAACCCTCATCTTGTAAATACTCCCAATCCTCGTCTTGAGACTCCCTCCCTCAGTCTTGTTAACTGACTCCCACTATGTCTAGTCTTGTAATTGCTCCACATCCTAGTTTGTACATGATCAAGTACAATTCAGTTGTAATATCAATTCAGTAGTGTTAGCACTGTCTTATCGTCAGTTTGTAAAGTCCAATCTCTCACTTTATATTGAACAACTCCTAGTTTGATAACTGATTCACAATCTTTCAGTCATTGTAATTGACTCTCAACTTTCCTGTCGTTGTTTTGCTCCACACTTCGTTATGATGCAGAGTAAAAATGACAATATTATAAACTGATTCAACTACTCATTACTGTCAATGACCCATCACTCCTACATCTTGACTGACTCCATCACTCAGTCTTGTAACTGACTCCCATCTTTAATGACTCCCTCAGTCTTGTAACTGACTCCCTTTGACACTCCCTCAGTCTTGTAACTGACTCCCAGTCTTTAACTGACCCCTCGTCTTGTAACTGACTCCCCACTCCCTCAGTCTTGTAACTGACTCCCACACTCCCTCAGTCTTGTAACTGACTCCCACACTCCCTCAGTCTTGTAACTGACTCCCACACTCCCTCAGTCTTGTAACTGACTCCCACACTCCCTCAGTCTTGTAACTGACTCCCACACTCCCTCAGTCTTGTAACTGACTCCCACACTCCCTCAGTCTTGTAACTGACTCCCTCAGTCTTGTAACTGACTCCCACACTCCCTCAGTCTTGTAACTGACTCCCACACTCCCTCAGTCTTGTAACTGACTCCCACACTCCCTCAGTCTTGTAACTGACTCCCACACTCCCTCAGTCTTGTAACTGACTCCCACACTCCCTCAGTCTTGTAACTGACTCCCACACTCCCTCAGTCTTGTAACTGACTCCCACACTCCCTCAGTCTTGTAACTGACTCCCACACTCCCTCAGTCTTGTAACTGACTCCCACACTCCCTCAGTCTTGTAACTGACTCCCACACTCCCTCAGTCTTGTAACTGACTCCCACACTCCCTCAGTCTTGTAACTGACTCCCACACTCCCTCAGTCTTGTAACTGACTCCCACACTCTCTCAGTCTTTAACTGACTCCCACACTCCCTCAGTCTTGTAACTGACTCCCCACTCCCTCAGTCTTGTAACTGACTCCCACACTCCCTCAGTCTTGTAACTGACTCCACACTCCCTCAGTCTTGTAACTGACTCCCACACTCCCTCAGTCTTGTAACTGACTCCCACACTCCCTCAGTCTTGTAACTGACTCCCACACTCCCTCAGTCTTGTAACTGACTCCCACACTCCCTCAGTCTTGTAACTGACTCCCCACTCCCTCAGTCTTGTAACTGACTCCCCACTCCCTCAGTCTTGTAACTGACTCCACACTCCCTCAGTCTTGTAACTGACTCCCACACTCCCTCAGTCTTGTAACTGACTCCCCACACTCCCTCAGTCTTGTAACTGACTCCCACACTCCCTCAGTCTTGTAACTGACTCCCACACTCCCTCAGTCTTGTAACTGACTCCCACAGTCTTGTAACTGACTCCCACACTCCCTCAGTCTTGTAACTGACTCCCACACTCCCTCAGTCTTGTAACTGACTCCCACACTCCCTCAGTCTTGTAACTGACTCCCACACTCCCTCAGTCTTGTAACTGACTCCCACACTCCCTCAGTCTTGTAACTGACTCCCACACTCCCTCAGTTTGTAACTTGATTCCCATCCTATTCTTGTAACTGACGCCTAAACTCCCTCAGTCCCTGATAACTGACTCCCTCACTCCTCATTCTGTAACTGATCCCACATCCCTCATCTTGTAACTGACTCCACACTCCCACATCAGGTCTTGTAAGGTCACTCCCCAGTCTCTGTAACTGACTCCCACCACTCCCTCAGTCTTGTAACTGACTCCCACTTCCCTCAGTCTCTGTAACTGATCCCACTCCCTCAGTCTTGAACTGACTCCCACCACTCCCTCAGTCTTGTAATGACTCCCCACTCCTCAGTCTTGTAACTGATTCCCACTTCCCCAGTCTTGTAACTGACTCCCCACTCCCTCAGTCTTGTAACTGATCCCACACTCCCCAGTCTTGTAACTGACTCCCACCACTCCCTCAGTCTTGTAACTGACTCCCACTCCCTCAGTCTTGATAACTGACTCCCCACTCCCCAGTCTTGTAACTGACTTCCCCCTCCCTCAGTCTTGTAACTGACCCACCACTTCCCTCAGTCCTGTAACTGACTCCCACTCCCTCAGTCCTGAACTGACTCCCCCCTCCCTCAGTCTTGTAACTGATCCCCCACTCCCTCAGTCTTGAACTGACTTCCCACACTCCCTTAGTCTTGTAACTGATTCCCCACTCCCTCAGTCTTGTAACTGACTTCCCCACTCCCTCAGTCTTGTAACTGATTCCCACTCCTCAGTCTTGTAACTGACTCCCCACTTCCCTCAGTCTCTGTAACTGACTTCCCCACTCCCTCCAGTCTTGTAACTGATTCTCCCACTCCCTCAGTCTTGTAACTGATCCCACCCTCCCTCAGTCTTGGTAACTGACTTCCCACCCTCCCCAGTCTTGAACTGACTCCCACCACTCCCTCAGTCTTGAACTGATTCCCACCTTCCCCAGTCCTGAATGTTCCCACCCTTCCAGTTTAATCTGGATTCCCACCCCCATCTCTGGAACTGACTTCCCACCCCTCAGATTATGAACTGATCCCCCTTCCCCAGTCTTGGAACTGATTCCAGCCTCATTCGGAACTGATGCCAGACTCCCCATTCTCTGAATGATCCCCCCTTCCCAGTCATCAGAACTTGATTCCCACCCTTCCCCAGTCTCTGAACTGATTCCCACCCTTCCCCAGTCTCTGGAATGATTCCCACCCTTCCCCAGTCTCTGGAACTGATTCTCCCCTCCCCAGTCTCTGGAACTGTTCCCACCCTTCCCCAGTCTCTGGAACTGATTCCACCTCCCCAGTCTCTGGAACTGATTTCCCACCCTTCCCCAGTCTCTGGAACTGATTCCCACCCTTCCCCAGTCTCTGGAACTGATTTCCACCCTTCCCCAGTCTCTGGAACTGATTTCCACCCTTCCCCAGTCTCTGGAACTGATTCCCACCCTTCCCCAGTCTCTGGAACTGATTCCCACCCTCCCCCAGACTCTGGAACTGATTCCCACCCTCCCTCAGTCTCTGGAACTGATTCCCACCCTTCCCCAGTCTCTGGAACTGATTCCCACCTTCCCCAGTCTCTGGAACTGATTCCCACCCTTCCCCAGTCTCTGGAACTGATTCCCACCCTTCCCCAGTCTCTGTAATTGACTCCCACCCTCCCCCAGTCTCTGGAACTGATTCCCACCCTCCCCAGTCTCTGGAACTGATTCCCACCCTCCCCCAGTCTCGTAACTTGACTCCCACCCTCCGCCAGTCTCTGGAACTAATTCCCACTCTCCCCCAGTCTTTGGAACTGATTCCCACCCTCCCCCAGTCTCTGGAACTGATTCCCACCCTTCCCCAGTCTCTGGAACTGATTCCCACCCTCCCCACGTCTCTGGAACTGATTCCCACCCTTCCCCAGTCTCTGGAACTGATTCCCACCCTTCCCCAGTCTCTGGAACTGATTCCCACCCTTCCCCAGTCTCTGGAACTGATTCCCACCCTTCCCCAGTCTCTGGAACTGATTCCCACCCTCCCCAGTCTCTGGAACTGATTCCCACCCTTCCCAGTCTCTGGAACTGATTCCCACCCTCCCTCAGTCTCTGGAACTGATTCCCACCCTCCCCAGTTCTCTGGAACTGATTCCCACCCGTCCCCCAGTCTCTGGAACTGATTCCCACCTTCGTGCCATGTGTCCTCTGAACTGATTCCCGACCCTTTCTCCCACCAAGTCTCTGGAACGTGATTCCCACCTCTTTCCCCATCAGTAATGGGAACTGATTTGCACCCGTGTCCCATCCTCTGTAATGATCCCCCCTCCCCCAGTGCGTTGAACTGATCCCCACCTTCCCCAGTCTCTGGAACTGATTGCCACCTTCCCCAGTCTCTGGTAATTGATTCCCACCTTCCCCAGTCTCTGGAACTGATTCCCACCCTTCCCCAGTCTCTGGAACTGATTCCCACCCTCCCCCAGTCTCTGGAACTGATTCCCACCCTCCCCCAGTCTCTGTAACTGATTCCCACCCTTCCCCAGTCTCTGTAATTGACTCCCACCCTCCCCCAGTCTCTGGAACTGATTCCCACCTTTCCTCAGTCTCTGGAACTGATTGCCACCTTTCCCCAGTCTCTGGAACTGATTTCCACCCTTCCCCAGTCTCTGGAACTGATTCCCACCCTCCCCCAGTCTCTGGAACTGCCTCCCACGCTCCCTCAGCCTCTGTAACTGACTCCCACCCTCCCTCAGTCTCTGTAACCGACTCTCAACATTCAGTCAAGTCACTCAGATTCCACATCCATCCTTTAACTTATTCTAAACTGTTCATCAATGGTATAATATCCCGACAAGTGTACTAATAATAAATCACACAATGGGTGGGGATCGAACCCATGGCAAAAGTCCTAAAACTAGCATGTCATGCACTGATCCATAACAGCCTAATAGAGCCATTCAACTTGGTATATTTCTGTACACCATACGGCCACAGGGCGGTTAGTATGACCACAACTGTGACCACAAATGCATTTTTTTACAAAGAATCTCACAACAGCGAGGCTGTGGTGTGAAATATAGAAATGTATCTAATTGGATGAGTCTTATTAGACCGGTATGAGCCAATGGCTGACACATTATTCAACCATTGGCCGTTTTAGTATTCGTTTGCCAGCTGCCCAGGGGTCGTCACATCGGAAGATCAGTCGCCATGGAAAGATAGGGTCCCATGGCAGGTCATCAAGCCCATGGCAAGGAAGATCATGGGTCAAGCCCATGGCAAGGAAGATCATGGGTCAAGCCCATGGCAAGGAAGATCATGGGTCAAGCCCATGGCAAGGAAGATCATGGGTCAAGCCCATGGCAAGGAAAATCATGGGTCAAGCCCATGGCAAGGAAGATCATGGGTCAAGCCCATGGCAAGGATATTCTCACCACTAATTAATACCGTCAAAATGCGGTAAAACACACTTATGTATAGTTCAAGACATTAAAAGAAACGTTTTGCCACCAGTGGCGAAACGTTTCCTCTAATGAATGTGCTAAAGTGTACATAAGTGTCTTTTTCAACCCTTTAATTGCATAAAACTATATTGAAGTCGGTCTGGTAATGGCTCCTAATTTTAAATTTTGATATTTCTTAGTTGAGTAACTTTATTGTTGAACATCAAAATGGTATACAATACCGACAGGATGTTAGGTAAGACACATAGGCAACAGTTAGGCAACTTTATTCCGAAACGTTTCGCCCACCCAGGCCTACTGTGTAGGCGAAACGTTTCGGAATAAAGTTGCCTAACTGTTGCCTATGTGTCTTACCTACCAACTTTATTGTTGGTGACGTCATCCGCCTCTTTTTTAAAGCTGATGTCTCATCACTAAATATGATCGTTGCTGCCGTCACTGTTAGAACTGATGACGTCATTAGTGACCAAAAATTATATTGTCTCTAACATCTCAAACCCCGTGTTCATCCTTGCTAACTGAGCCTACCATTGTCAGTTCATCCTTACTAACTGACCTCCCTTCCCACTCTGTCTACCCCCGTAAATAACTCTTAATACCCGTCCATCCTTGTAACTGTCCAGTACACCTTGTCCATCCTTGTAACTGTCATGTACACCCTGTCCATCCTTGTAACTCTCCTGTACACCCTGTCCATCCTTGTAACTGTCCATGACACCCTGTCAATCCTTGTGACTGTCCAGTACACCCTGTCCATCCTTGTAACTGTCCAGGACACCGTCCATCATTGCTACTGTCCATGACACCCTGTCAATCCTTGTGACTGTCCATGACACCCTGTCCATCCCTGTAACTGTCCAGGACACCCTGTTCATCCTTGTGACTGTCCAGCACACCCTGTCCATCTCTGTAACTATTCAAGACTCCCTGTCCATCCTTGTAAGTGTCCAGGACACACTATCTGTCCTTGACTGTCCAGGACACCCTGTCCATCTTTGTAACTCCAGAACACCCTGTCCACCCTTGTAACTGTCTAGGATACGTTGTCCATAATTGTAAACTGTCCAGGACACCCTGTCCATCCTTGTAACTGTCCAGGACACCCTATTCTTCCTTGTAACTCTCCAGGACAAATTGTCCATCCTTGTATCTCCAGGACACCCTCTCCATCCTTGTAACTCTCCAGGACACTCTCTCCATCCTTGTAACTCTCCAGGACACCCTCTCCATCCTTGTAACTCTCCAGGACACCCTCTCCATCCTTGTAACTCTCCAGGACACCCTCTCCATCCTTGTAACTCTCCAGGACACCCTCTCCATCCTTGTAACTCTCCAGGACACCCTGTCCATCCTTGTAACTCTCCAGGACACCCTGTCCATCCTTGTAACTCTCCAGGACACCCTGTCCATCCTTGTAACTGTCCAGGACACCCTGTCCATCCTTGTAACTGTTCAGGACACCCTGTCCATCCTTGCAACTGTCCAGGTACCCTGTTCCATCCTTGTAAACTGTCAGACAACCCTTTCCATCCTTGTAACTTCCAAGACACCCTTCCATCCTTGTAACTCTCAAGGGCACCCTGCCCGTCCTTGTAACTCCAGGAAACCCTGCCCACCCTTTTAACTCTCCAGGATACCCTGTCCATCCTTGTAATTGTCCAGGACACCTGTTCATCCTTGTGATTGACCTACACTGCACGTCAATCCAGTGACCCTCACTTCTCGCCCATCTTTGTAACCGACCTCCACTAATTTATCTATCCTTGCAACTGATCCCAAATTATCCATCCTTGTTGTTGACCCTAGCTTCCCATCAATCCTTATAACAGACTCGTACTATACCTCCGTCGTTTTTACTGACCCTTACCCCTTATCCATCCTTCCAATTTACTGACCCTTACTCATTATTCATCCTTGTAACTGACTCGCTATCCGTCCATCCTTTTAACTGGCTCCCACTCCTCATCCATCCATATAACTGTCCTAGCTGTCATCCCAGTGAGGAAACTCACCGGAACAATGAACTGTTCGTGGGCGTCCGTGAAGTTGACCGGGATCTTTCCGTGTCGTGACGAGAGAACTGCAACTTGATGGAGCAGTTGCCGATGACGTATCCCCAGTTGGTCATGTTGGCAACCACTACTCCCTCCACGTACTCGGCCGACGTCTGTACGGTCAGCGGAAGACGTACAAACACCTACACCAGAACACAACAGTTGAGGGAAACAAAGCAACAGGAGTGGCAAGAAAAAGAGGGAAGGGTGTGTGTGTGTTTGAGGACAGGAGAAATATCAGGATACAACAGGTGAAGCAAGAAGTGCTAGTATGTGTGACTGCGAGGAATCAACGCCTGAAAAAGGACACGTAAGGTGAAGCAAGAATAAAGAGAAAAATGTCTAGGGGCTTCAAAAGAGCCTAGCATAGGTAGGAGATGATCCACGCAACAAATGCAGCCGGTGGACGTCTATTATTGATGATGAAGGCGTCATAACAAAGTGGGAGCAAGCCGAGGTCCCAGGTAATATATTCTCAAGGTATCCATGGTCGTCTGTGTGTTATGGAGAGAAGAAAAGATCAAATTATCTAATACGAGGCACTTGACACATGGAAAGTTAAAAAGTCGTGGAATATTTGAATTAAGAAACTGTTAATAGCCTAGCAATAATTAATAAATAAACGAATTACCGAAATCTCTGAATTCTGAATTTAAAGAGACAAACGGAAAGAAGTGAAAGAAGGATGAAATTGGAAAAGACTGAAAAAAAGAATAACGTATGTGTTCGAAAACTAGAGGTTAAAGATGACAGTGGCTGTGACGAGGAAGACCTACCTCGAACCTGGGTCTGAAGTAATGCTCCACTTTGATATGCTTGTCCTCCACTTGGCTGCCAGCCCTCACCCTGATCCTCCATTTCCCCACCAGAGGATACTTGGGGAGCTCAAACTTGAGGTTCATCACTCCTGCAGACAGACAAGAATCCTTTATTGCACCTAAAGGTTTTCATGTGTTGGCTAGATACATGTACCTCTTAACGTGATTGATGTATTTACACACCCGCATATAGGAGGAGCTTACAACGACGTTTCGGTCCAACTTGGACCATTTAAAAGTCACATTTCTTTCTCATGTGATGGATCATAATTTAAGGGCATTAATATAAGGGATCACCCCTTGCAGGTCATAATTTGATGAATCACAAAGCGAATCTATTTACTATAGAATACAAAACAAATGCTAGCTTGCAGGTCGATAAAACAAAGCTAGACGCCACTACACTAGGTCATCACTATACGTAACTATGTCACGCGGAATACATGGTCACATAGCAAGTGAAAGAATCCTAAGATAAGGGTTAGTCACTAGCTAGTGAGGAGGAACTAGGTCACTAAATAGTAAGACAGTGCTAAGTCAGTAGTAAAAATATGGTAAATCACTAATTAGTAAACTAGGCCAGGTCACTAATTAGTAAGACTAGGCCAGGTCACTAATTAGTAAGACTAGGCCAGGTCACTAATTAGTAAGACTAGGCCAGGTCACTAATTAGTAAGACTAGGCCAGGTCACTAATTAGTAAGACTAGGCCAGGTCACTAATTAGTAAGACTAGGCCAGGTCACTAATTAGTAAGACTAGGCCAGGTCACTAATTAGTAAGACGAGTCTGGGGTCACTAATTAGTAAGACTAGGCTAGGTCACTAATTAGTAAGACTAGCTAGGTCACTAATTAGTAAGACAGTCGGGTCACTAATTAGTAAGACGGTCTGGGTCACTAATTAGTAAGACTAGGCGGTCACTAATTAGTAAGACTAGGCCAGGTCACTAATTAGTAAGACTAGGCCAGGTCACTAATTAGTAAGACTAGGCCAGGTCACTAATTAGTAAGACTAGCTAGGTCACTAATTAGTAAGACATGGCGGTCACTAATTAGTAAGACAGCCAGGGTCACTAATTAGTAAGACAGGTCTGGTCACTAATTAGTAAGACGACTGGCAGGTCACTAATTAGTAAGACTAGGCCAGGTCACTAATTAGTAAGACTAGGCCAGGTCACTAATTAGTAAGACTAGGCCAGGTCACTAATTAGTAAGACGAGCCAGGGTCACTAATTAGTAAGACAGGCCGGGTCACTAATTAGTAAGACTAGCCAGGTCACTAATTAGTAAGACGTGTCTGGGGTCACTAATTAGTAAGACGAGTCTGGGGTCACTAATTAGTAAGACGAGTCTGGGGTCACTAATTAGTAAGACGAGTCTGGGGTCACTAACTAATAAGGCGAGTTCAGGTAATAACTAATTTGACAGGACTTGGTCACTAGCCAATAAGGCGGGGTCAGGTCACTAGCTAATTAAGACCAGGTCAGGTCACTAACCAGTATGACGGGGCCAGTCACTATCTAATAAGACGAGGCCAGGTTACTAGCAAGACGGATGAAGAACACTAACTAGAAAAAAAACTACAACGATGCTGTTTCACTAGGCTAGTGAGGCAAGTAAAGATCACTATTAGGATGCTTTGTCACTAGGTTAGGTCACTAGGCTAGGTCACTAGGCTAGGTCACTAGGTTAGGTCACTAGGTTAGGTCACTATTACAAGGCTTGGTTACTGACTAGTAAGACAAGGTTAGCTCACTAACTACTAGTACTAGGCTTGTTTACCGACTAGTAAGCCTATACAAGGTCACTAACTAGTAAGACGAGGCTAGGTCAGTGAACACTAGTGCTGATAGTGAATACTAGTGCTGGCAGTGAACACTAATGCCGGCAGTGAACACTAATACTGGCACTGAACACTAGTGCTGGCAGTGAACTCTACTCTGGTACTGGCAGTGAAAACTTGTACTGGCAGTGAACACTAGTACTGGGAGTGAACACTAGTACTGGCAGTGAACATTGGTGATGGCAGTAAACACTAGTGCTGGCAGTGAACACTAGTACACTGGCAGTGAACACTACTCTAGTGCTGACAGTGAACACTAGTGCCGGCAGTGAAAACTAGTTCTAGCAATGGAACTAATCTAGTGCTGGCAGTGAACACTGTAACAGTGATGGCACTCAACACTAGTGTTGGCAGTGAAAACTAGTGCTGTCAGTGAACACGATTACTGGCAATGAACACTAGTGCTGGCAGTGAACCCTAGTGTTGGCAGTGAACACTAGTTCTGGCAGTTGAACTCTTTCCCAGGTGGAGTGAGGTGCCAAGATATGAAGCAGTGTAGTTCCTGGCCTCCCAGTGTGTTTCCAAGTTATTCACATTGCTCGTTAGTACAAATAATAATTGGTCGAACTCAATTTCAGAAAATCGTAAGAAACTATGAAACATTCGGCAAAAGTCACGGGAATACAAAAGGTGTAAGAATGGTTCATTCTCTAGTGTATTAGAAGCACATTCAAATCCTTTCAGTATTTCTATGACCGAACGCTGGAATGGTAAACACATCTCAGCATCACAACCTGTGTTTACCAGTGTAACACAGGTTATAGTCCGGTGTTTTCTCGGTGAAATACACAACAATAAAGAAAGTAAATTATTCTAGGGTAGGGTAATGTTATCCTAAACACAACACACACAAATAACCCGCACATAGAGAGGAGCTTACGACGACGTTTCGGTCAGACTTGGACCATTTACAAAGTCACACTGGTTTCGTAAGCTCCTCTCTCCTATGTGCGGGTTATTTGTGTATTGTTCCAGTCACGGTATTGTGCCTTTTTTGTTATTTAATGTTATCCTGTTTACTATAGCTAACCGACAACAATTAAATAACATAAACAGGCTGCATGCGACCGGCACAGCGGAACATGTTGATAAATAATACACATTTGTAACAGTTACGTATCTATATTCCGAAACATACTGTCACTGCTTCAAGGGTTGGTAACCCCACACGTCTTGTAAGATGGAGGAAGAGATGTATTATTATTATTATTGTAATATTTTATTGTGCTGTATGTCCTTGTGTTTATAGAGATATGTTTTAAACATATTATATAAATGGGGAAACTGCATTTCTTGCCAACTTTTCTATGTATAACTGTTGTTAATAATTACTTACCATCACCAGTCTGGTGGGAGGGCGGCCACCCGAGGCCGTAGTAAATTTCTAGTTGTGTAGGAAAAGTTTCGTAGTTATGATGAGGTGGGGTGGTGATGTGAGAATGTGTTAGGAGAGAGTGAAGTTTTTGTAGTTTTGAGAGTGTGATGTTGTTAATTTGAGAGTTGGGTAAGTGTTTGTGTTAGTTTTGAGAGCGGGGTGAGTGTTGTGTAACTTTTGTAGTTGGGTGAGAGGAGGTGGTGCTACGAGACTGTTGTTAGTTATGAAAGTGGGGGTGGTGTGTGCTGAGAATGTAGCAAGTATGTGCAGAGACTAGTTGAATGTATGCTGAAAGTATACAGTACACATTCATTTATACACACACAACACACACACACACACACACACACACACACACTTATTTTTGCAGAGAAGTTGTCTCCCTGAGCAGTCCTGCCTCTTAATTTATCCGTTACTGGGATAATTGTCTTCTAGTTTTGTGAGCCCCTTCCTATCTACTCTTAAAACTATGTATAGGTCCTACACCATTCCACTTGTTAACCACTGTGAGGTTGAAGAAGTACTTCGTGATATTTTATGCGTCCCATAACCTCTAACTGTTCCCACTAGTACCCATTTTTCGCTTTTCCAACAGTCTTTCTCTGGGGACACTTATTTCCCCTGACTGTTTTGCACAACTCATTCGTTCTTATAATTTCATCAGGTTTACTTATTTTATCCATATATTAATGGATTACAATATCGACAAGCTTAAGAATAATGCACACGCGGAAGACATAAATATTTTTTATTACCTAAAAGTTTCTTTTGTGCAAAACTCTTCGTAAGTCGAAAACAAGAGGCGACTTCTATGCTGGCGGCAGTGGAAGAAGTTCAATGGTAGTTTAAAGGTGTTCAGTCCCACAGAGGGCTGACGTTTTAAAATAATATATATATATATAATTTTTTTTTCAACAAGTCGGCCGTCTCCCACCGAGGCAGGGTGACCCAAAAGGAAAGAAAATTCCCAAAAGAAAATACTTTCATCATCATTCAACACTTTCACCTCACTCACACATAATCACTGTTTTTGCAGAAGTGCCCAAAATACAACAGTTTAGAAGTATATACGTATAAAACACAATATATCCCACCAAACTGCCAATATCCCAACCCCCTCTTTTAGAGTGCAGGCATTGTACTTCCCATTTCCAGGACTCAAGTCGGGTTATATTAAATAACCGTTTTCTCTGAATCTCTTTCACTAAATATTACCATGCTCACACTCCAACAGCTCGTCAGGTCCCAAATATCATTTGTCTCAAATTCACTCCTATCTAACACGCTCACGCACGCTTGCTGGAAGTCCAAACCCCTCGCCCACAACACCTCCTTTACCCCCTCCCTCCAACGTTTTCGAGGACGACCCCTACCCCGCCTTCCTTCCCCTACAGATTTATACGCTCTCCATGTCATTCTACTTTGATCCATTCTCTCTAAATGACCAAACCACCTCAACAGCCCCTCTTCAGCCCTCTGACTAATACTTTTATTAACTCCACATCTTCTCCTAATTTCCACATTCCGAATTTTCTGCATAATATTTACACCACACATTGCCCTTAGACAGGACATCTTCACCGTCTCCTCGCTGCAGCATTTACAACCCAAGCTTCACACCCATATAAGAGTGTTGGTACTACTATACTTTCATACATCTCCTTCTTTTCCTCCACAGATAACATTGTTTGCCTCCACATATACCTCAATGCACCACTCACCTTTTTTTCCTTCATCAATTCTATGATTAACCTCATCCTTCATAAATCCATCCGCTGACACGTCAACTCCCAAATATCTGAAAACACTCACTTCTTCCATACTCCTCCTCCCCAATTTGATATCCAATTTTTCTTTATTTAAATCATTTGA